GCAAAAGGATTCTTCCCCAGCCTATTTAGAATGACTTTCACACTCTGCCAGCCCCTCACAGCATTATGCTTGGACAGACTTCACACAAGACTGTTTTCCATTTCCATCAACTTTGATGGTCAGTCTGTTAATATTTCTTATGAAAAAAAAAAGTGATCTTTCAGAGCAGCCTTAGGTTCCTATGAAACTTTGACCTTCTTGCTCCCTTTTTACTTTCCACTTATCTTTGTCTTCTCTTCTTCTTCAGCCACTAGCCCCTGCTGTTACCATTTACTCAGTCTCTTCTTTCATGCTGCTCAATATTCTGTCTCTACAGGTTGCACCTCATCACTCCTTCCACAGAACAAACTCCTTCCACAGAGAAAACTTCTTCCACAGATTTCCTTCACATTCTGGTATTTTCCTCTGCCCTGTCATCATTTTAATATATTTCTAGAGGTCTCCTTTTCATCTGGGGATCTGCCAATCAACCCATCTGCAACTACAGTCATGTTCATGCTCTTTCCTTTCATCTTATCTGTCATTCTCAAATGCATTTCTATATTCTACCCTCATTTCTAGCAGCATTTATGTCTCTCACACCTCTTTATTTTCCTGAACATTATGAGATGACCCTTCATGCATATGTAAATTCTGTCAGAAACTCACTGAAGGATAACATACACCTTACAGCTTCTGCATCCAGTCATCTTCATCTTTCTGCCATATTTTGGTCTTCTCCACTGGTGCCCAAGATGCTGTTTTTTTCTCCCTTACCCTAGGTTTAAAATCAAACAAACCATCTGCATACCAGGGTCCTCTCCAAAATTCTTCTTTTACTAGACTCATACCAGCCTCTAGTTGCTTTGATTCTGACACCTTCTTACCTACATTAGTCCACCACTTCATTTAGGGTTAACTATGATCAAAGGCCATGATCAAAGACTTCCTCTTTGTGCTGTTTAAACTAAGCCATATGGCTTTGCAACACAGCTTATCTAGTCTTGTTTGAACTGGTTGTGCACTTCTATGCACAGCAATCACTTCCAATCATAGTAAGAAATCCATGTGAATTTTCTGATGCACTTATGCCAAAGCTCACATTACAGTTACTCCAGGCAGAGAAGCTGCCTGGTGCTTTGGAAGCCTGAACCAGAATTTCACAACTCCACCCTAATTCAGGACTAAATACCTGTCAGGAGGTGGGTATGCTTTGCTTTTGGGGTGTTAATTTGGTGGAGTTTTCTTCTTTTTCAAAAGTAAAACACCAAAATATAGTTCAAGCACAACCAAAAGTACAGGATGATGCTGCTGATAATTTGAGAAAAAAATGCTGAGAGTCCAAAACCTTCATAATGGAGCTGCTGACAATGATAAATACAGGGAAATGCTTACTATTATGGACCTCTCAGTTCAGGCAGGGTGAACTACCAATTGTAGATCTCCTCTGACATGGCTAATAATTTTCACTAAATATAGTTCATCAGTGTCTAGACATCACTGATTCACCCTTTACATCTTCTTCTTCTCAAAATAAAAATATGAACCAAAATCTAAATTTCAACTTAATTCTCCAGAGGTAGAAGGTAAAAAGAGTGTATTTCGCTTTATTAAAAAGGCCTACAAAAATTTTGGTTGCAATATAAAACCCCTTTCTAGAAAAAAACAACCAGTATCATGATGTTACCCAACACTGCAATAGATTATAATAATTTATAGGAAGGCTACATCTCCAAAAAAAACCCCAAGAATGAGAAATAGAACTGGAAAGACATCCCTTGATGAGCTTCAAGTGTTTTTTATATGTGAAACTTAGACTCTTAAATCACTGGATCAGAAATATTTGTCAAGCTGACTGCAGGCCCTATAGTCTTAGTTCTTTAGTCTTTTTTTAATCTGGAGACCGAAGTGCTGTATGCTATACTTCCCTTCTCCCAGAATTTCAGTTAATAATAATGTACACATTTTCTTGATAATCTTCACAATTTCCATCATGAAAATATAATATTCAGAAAATACTAATGCATCAATTCAGCTTCCAGAACTCTAATGGCATGAACACTAATATATTGTACTGATACAGCTAAAACTTAGACTAAAGAATCAAAATAATATGTTTATAAACGCCATATATTAGACTGCCTGGTTTGTTACAAGGTAATAAACAGAAAAGCTTGCATCTAGTCACTTGTGGTTGTTAAACAAGATTCTTTGTGACTTGGAAAAAAACTAGAACACAATGAAGAATTATCAGTGCATTCTCCACGGAAGTCATCTACATGTGTTTATTTAATAAACAGAAGATGGCTTTATTATACACATTTGATTTCCATATGCAATCGTCTCCTTATCTGTCACTTGTATCTAAGCAGGATGCTTTATACAAATCTGAAAATGAAAAATTCAGAGCAGGGCACAGGAAACTCATTTAATGTCGAGTGCAGTCAAAATCAAGATTTCTTTATTTGTAGTAACAACGCTGTTAAATCAGAAAATTACTCTCCTTTTCTGCATGTCCTTCTTCCTTTACAATTCAGTTGTTTGATCATAAATTGTCGAGTGCAATGACTTGTCTCCTCCACTTTCCACACTGGTCGAGACAGATTAAAAACTCCGGCATACCACCAACCAGTCTCAGCATACCATTAGCATATATATGAGATTTGAGACATTTTCTAATATTCTCCAGCAGAACTCATCTGTCAGCCAGGTGATGAATTATAAAAACTCTTAGCTTGTTTAGAAAAGAGAGGGGGAGAGTGAGAAAGAGAAAGAGAAAGAGAAAGAGAAAGAGAAAGAGAAAGAGAAAGAGAAAGAGAAAGAGAAAGAGAAAGA